CAGATATGGGTGCGACCATGGAATAGATGGATGGCAAAGTATAAGTTGCAACAAGACCACAGTGGCACAAGACCTCAGCTTGCGTGACTTGATAATACATCCTCAGTATCCATTTATTGATGCTTATCGTAATGACAAAGTTACTTGTGATTACTGTGGATTGGTGGAGATAAAGTGTCTATTGTGCTTGAACGAAAGCAACTTCAATACGACCCATTCAAAATTTTTTTGTTTTGTTTTGGTGGGTCTGATAGTGAAGGTTTCAGTCTAAAGTTTGGACACCGATACTATAACAAATACAGTTGCCAATGAAACTTACGAGGCGTAATATTGCGACTTTGTGTCTGAAAGAAAATTCTGATGGGTAGCCGGCTAGCCGCAACCCTTTGTTTAAAGAATATTATGAGATGACATAAGAGTCTAAACTTTTATTTGAGAGGGGTGTGACCCAAGCTAATTTGCAATGTATTCATGGTACCAAATGTATCACACACTTTACAGTAATTATAAATTATATTTGAAAAATAAAGCACATCAAAATGTTTTTCAAAAAACAATTGGTTTTATTTGCAGATACTAGGTTGATATTGAGATTGACCATTCAATGCTAAATTTTCTTCAGTCAAAAGGCACACTTGATTCGCAAGATTTGTGAATGCGCACAGTACACTAATATGTCTAATGTTTTGATTCCATAGGCAGGAGGTTGTGGATCGGTGCTGCTCAGGACGGGATATTTTGCCTATAAATGCATATTACGTGTTCACATGAATCCATCGTGCTCAGATTTGACTGTTTTCAAGGTCTGAAGGCTCCAACAGCCTAATTTTATCGGTACACAAGAGAATTTTCAGTGTGGCATGCATGGGTCAGTTGGAGTCACTAACCTCAAGATATCTATAAGCAAGGATAAGATAACCTGGAAGTAACATTCCATAATTTAGAGTAAAAAATGTATCTGCCTCCACAGCCCTTTCAAATGGAAGATATGATGCCTCGGGGGTAATTTCTATCAAATATTTTACAGTATTATGGTTCTAGTGAAAAGGGGTGTAGGCGGCTTCTTTTAAAGTGTGGTAGGTCTAGTCGAAAGACACATTAAATGTTTATGCTAACAACTGCAATTAATATTGCAACGCATACAAGTTAACAGAATTTGTTGAAATGGTCCTGCCTTTTGCCTTTCTTCAAAATCCCCTTTTTCTAACTATTCTCTTCTCTGGGATGGCGAAAATTCAAATATCGATGGGACATAAGCAGCTGATAATGGGTTATCTTCCCTTTTTCCTGAAAATAAATTAAACACTAATCATCATTTGACAGTGCCAAGTTTGTGTATCAGATCAGTGATAAATCACCTGTAACTAATAAAAACAATCAGACAACCAACCTTCTGACCATTAATGAAGATTTCTTTCAATTTAAAACGCAACTATGCCCTACCAATGTGGGTAGTTTTTAGGATTTAATCTGTGGTTGGGGACAGATTGCAAGGGACAACATCGTTACGAATTACCATTCTATGTCGGGAATAGTTAGCCAGTTATTTGTTTTAGAAGCATGGACTTGATGGTGGGGGATGTCGTAATCGACCAGCGGTCGTCGTGAACCACCCTCAGTGGCAGGAGAGCTGCAATCGCCTCGCATAACTACGCCCGCATGGGATTGGAACCTGTGAAACTCCCAGGGGAATCAGAGATTCGTGGCGAGGCGTATTCTTAGATGGAGAATTCAATTGAATTCTAGTTATTTTTTTGGCGTTAAGCACTGGCGTTAAACTTTAGTTATCTATTCAACTTTTCACACTTACTAATAGATTACCTGCTAACTAGGGGAAACAATACCTAATGGCAATTATTGATTAATACCTTACACGAGTCAAGTCTGCAAGTAGGCCTACGCCTAGGCCTACCAATAACAGTAGTTTGTCATCTGCTTTCCATTGAAATGAGGGAGCTTATGAATATTTAAAAAAAATGATAACGGCACATTATGACTCACCATCAACGAAGTGCTGTCCGCAAACAGTGAAACACATGTGAGATGGCTTCTGGACTTGACACCAAGCAGTCCTGCCAATAGATGATATCCACATTGCGCGACGTTCCGGATCTTTTGAAAACGGTGGAATATAACTGAATATCCATTTCGTTGTTTATACTATACGTACAGCCAGCGGAACAATACGAAATAACCATTTTCAACAGCCAAACAAAGCGGAAACGTATAATCCGACTTGCAACTGACAGGAGGCAAATGGACGTTTTTGTTTTATTGCCGTCCAGTAAACAAGGTCACGTGACCCGTGCAAGTCCTCTATAATAAAAAGACATCGTTCCTCCTTTCAACGGAAGCTTTGTACGCAAGACATGATCGTGTCATCCATGCACAAATCTTAGAAATAAGCACGGTATGGCAACCCTGTATATATCCCATGCTGAGGAATCGCTGCGACGACATACAAGGCCGAAAGTATGGATGGCTCTGTATTAACTTGCGTCTTGATTCGATGCCAAAAATGTGACAGGTGAGACCTATCTGGTACACGGAGCCAAATTCGTCGCAATGTTCTTGATGACTCTTTATTTAAGTCAATTACAAACGATATAAAATCACTGATATCATGCAATTTACTGATGGAAAGGTTGCCAACTCTTATTGATTCCTATCTATTAACGTCCATTGGGTGATTTGAAACTTGAACTTTAATTTCCTAAGTTTACAACCGAAATTGGTAGACATTGCATTTTTGCGTAACAGTCAAAGCGCTTTATCAACACGCTCTTTTCATCCGTCCAATGTCCCTTCAAGAAAGATGTTGATAGTTCTGAAAAGGCGATGTTTGGAACTGGTGGTTAGCAATAATAATATGTGGCGCTGTTTTCTGTTTCGAATGTTTTGAAATAAGAATTTTTGTCTGCAGGTAGTTTCTTAATAACGAAATGGAAAATTTGGTTGCGACCTTAAGAAATGCTAAAAATATTGAAACGTTTATGAAAAGGATTCTTTTCACTCGTTTACTATGCGAGTTTGGTGTGCCAAAATTATTTTAGTGAGTCACGCACTCAAAGTGACGTAATTTGGTATAACCAGATCAACGAAACTATTTCATCTGATGAATGAAGTTTTGCATCGATAAACAGGTCTCACATAAATATGTAACTAAGTGTCAACAAATTTATTACTAATAAGGTAATGGAATATATATATTTAAGACAAATATCACATTGAGTATTTTTGACTATTTTAAACCCCTGAAAGCAAACTTCCTGTCATCAAATAATTTGCCGATTAACAGCGGATAACGGATTTATGGATAACAATGGCAATAACTTTGTTAAACCCCACTAATGCGATTTGCACTTACGTGTGAAACAGACCGTTAGTGAATCACTGTAAGTTTTTATTTGCCAAACAATTTCGCTCAAAAAGTAGGTTGTGTCAGCACTGTAGTTAATCATTAGCGAATCGTTCAAGCACCTTTCTCATCCATGAATTGTGTAAGAGTAAGACTTGTACGTATTTGATATATGCATTACACTCTGCATCAGGTTAGAAATCGAGAAGTGGAAGTATGAGGTAGGATAAAAACATATGGATGACTGTGTCGAATAGTACTGAAAAGTTAATCACCGCAATAGATGCAACGACGTTTAGTATTTTTGTAGCAATAAACGCTCAATTTTTTGAAGAACCTCTGAATTACACTTTCAATATCAGATTATTACTAGTCACTACGATCTCCATTAGCTATCCGTTCTCACGGACGAAATGTTGAAGCCCTGATACATGCAAGGATTTTTATGCATTTTTGCAGAGTTTCCAAACTATGCGTCGTGATGTATATGAGTTGGCTACATATACATATCGTCACGCTAATAACCGAATTGCGTAAGTCATTTTTGGCGATTTTAAGGTATTTATAAAATAGGTATTTATGTAATGATGCGCACCTGTCTGTTAACTCAGATTTTATTTTAAGAACTCCGAAACCCATAATAATGGAGATTTAGTATGACATGTAGATTTGTGCAATTGTTTCGTCATAATGAATTATCATTGTTACCGCCGGACTATTGTGACGTCACAAAGGCAAAATAACCTCTGCGAAGTATTTTCGAATTTTTGCATCTCGGATTCTAGCTTAGTTAGCGCGTATTAATTTGAATTTATACTACAGTATAAGAAGACGTGCACTTGTGATATTCACTGTCCGAGTCCAATTCACCTTGGTTGGCTTTTATATTGGGTGCATTGCCGTTTTATTCTTTATATTTAATCTTAGTCTTATTTCGGTGGGTATGCAGAACGTGTTATATTGATGAAATATACATTTTTAAACATAAAAAATAATGTAATTGGAACTGATTAGCTATTTTAGGGATTAGACATTGCAGATACTGAGAATTACATTCGTTTTTGAAATGTTTGGTTTTCAGGACTGGTGCATATAGTAAGGTTGCAAAATTGCGTATGTCCCCAAGTCATAGACACATTTCTGCCTAAGTCACAGTGCGCCATTATGACGTCACTTAACTGCGTCATACAAATTAACTTAAATCCGGCTACGATCAAAAAATTGAACCATGGCAAATTATTGACTCTCAATGGCATAACAATATCATTAGGAAGTTTTTTACGTTTTTCTCAAAACTGCTAAAAATGACTTACGCAATTCGGTTATTAGCGTCACGATATGACGTTGATTTTCGTGTGCACGTCACTTGAATTACTGTATATTTATATGTATATTGAGTTGACTATATATTATATTGAATTGGCCGTATATCTATATGCACATGGCATTGGCGCTATATGCATATGATTTGACTGTTTATTCATATTTTTGGCTGTATTTGTATATCACGTTACCAACCTTATTGATTTCACCAAAGCAATTTCTGGTCACAAATGGATATGTAAGATCATTGGCTTGGATATTTTTTAATAATTGCACTTAACAACTTGATCAGTTTTCTATCTATAATAACAGTCACTAAATTATTTAAATGCATAAGTAAGTTATCAATATTAGTTAGAATATATTGTCACATGCTTCGTCATTGTGTTGATTCCCGGGTCGAATTACACTGATTCACGAACTGCAAACACGGACCCTGGCCTAAAAATATTAGCAGTGAAGAATAGAAAATAATGTGACATGGAGTATAACCAATATTTATTTAGCAACCGTCATATGTACACAAACCTCGAGTAAGAGCTATAGCAGGACGACATTTGCCAATTATCGCTTATACGTTGGTTCTAACCCCAAGAGCGATAAAAAGTTTTGCGGGTATGTAAAATCGCGAACGATCTTCAGTTGCCTTCCAATATACAAAAACATTTTTGATCATCTATGTGGATTTCATACTTTTATTTTCATATACAACGAAGTGCATCTACGTACTATTTTTAGTGGGTTCAGTTTTTCTTTCTTTTGTCTAATAGAATCATCCGCCGATCTGTATGTGTATCTGTTCGAACTATTTTATTCGTACATCGTAATAATTTGGTTTTGTATTGTCTTTGGAACTATAGTCTCCTTGACATGTCAGTTCCGAGCAAGATTTTTGAACACGAAGCGTACATATGGATCGTTTTTCATTATATTTATATCAAACGGCGTTGTGATCTAGTCATTCTAGTGCGTATGTTATTTAAAAATATCGTAATAAAATATATTATATTCATTACGTCATCTCCCGGCATGAAAAACATTTTTTGAAATAAATTCATAAATTATCTTCTGCACTTCTGAAATATTGGATTCAATTGCTTTCTAAATACCGACAACGGCAATAGGCGACTCAAATACTCGGAGTCAATAAAATTTCTTAGTTTGCCGAATACATATTTTTGTTTACAAACTACGGGTATATTACATAATTATATAATACAACACAGTGCTTTCGAACACCTATCTTACCTATAGCTTGGCATATTGACGATATTTCCGCCAATAATTTAACGAAATGATTACAACATATTGAAAACATATTTGATATAAATTTCTTCATTTCTACTATTCAGTTTGTGCATCTTTTCTATCGTTAACAAACTACACGGTATTCATTTGTAAAAATACTTTCACAAGTAAGTAGCCTACATCTGTTCTGTTACATTATTGTCAACATGAACAGCGCAATTGACTGCTCTGGTTTGCATAGAATAATCATTTCATGCCAATTACTTTGTTACTTTTCATTTACTTATACTCTAAGACAGGGTCGGCCAACCTTTTTGGCCGAAGGGCCACATGTAGTTCATTAATAATTGCGCGGGCCACTTGACATGGTAGTTTTGATCTAGTTGTTCGCCACTGACTAATGCCCCTAACATTTTTATCACAGCCTTTAACAAACCAATGCCTCTAGTCGTACCCTTAACAGGGACAATGGCTGCGAGCTCCACAGTAATTTCATATCATCATTAACTACCCGCGGGAAGATCGCAAGTCGCCAACTGAGCAGTAAACTTGATGGCGGTGCTTTCGTCAGCCGTCAAGAAATAAGATAAAAAATTCCCTGCTATTGCAATTAAAATTCCCGCAATAGAATTCCCAAGCTCTTCAACACGACGACTTATGGTCTGTCTTGACAGGCTATTTTTGCAAACATCTTTTTTATTTCCGGACGTAAAATAATGGCAATCCGAACAATACAAATATACATTCCTTATTAACGAATTCTCCATCTGAGAATGGCTTCGATTGTTGTGTGATGACATTATATAGAGTAGTAAAAGACCAAGTTTGTAAGCGACTATGGCATGTTTATGTATCGATATCTCCTCTCAGTTGGTTTCGATTCAAAATGGCACTCATGGCTCGTTTGGAAGGGCTGGCAGAGCGCATTTCAGGGAAACAAACAAATCGTTTGTATCACATATTTGTATAGGCCTACTAAACTAAAATTTTTACTTAATTTTTATATAAAATTCTGAAAATTAGCGCGGGCCACTCGAAATGCTTCCGCGGGCCACGGGTTGGATGACCCTGCTCTAAGATAATCTTTTCATTTGGTCTTTATTTTACATCATTGCTTTTGTTTTAGATTCACTTGCTGTACACATATGGATAATTTTCTTTTCATAATTTTGATATTCTTGGCCTCAGTGCTTGTGTATGCTGATGGCGCAACGGGAAATAATGTTACATCAACAAAACTTCCGAATGGATGTATTGTGATGAATTCTACGGAGGCTGATCCAATGTAAGGAATTCTATGCTTGAATTGTTTTGCGTTTGTATCTTCCAACACAATCAAAGCTTCCGATAATAAACATATATATTTGTCATTTAGTGAATTATAATTGGCTGCAACGTTACTGCGTATTATCACATTAGATTACGTTGTAAATTAAACCACATAATATTTTTTACACAGGCTAATCCACTTTGCTATGCCGTTTCCATTCGTGAATTGTTCAGATTTGAACAGGGAAGTATTCAATATGAGCAGATTTCCTAGCGACACTGCTAGCATGAGTTTCGCTCACAACAAGCTACGGTCATTTAGTGTGGACGATTTGGCGAGATTTACCAAATTGGTAAAGCTAGATATACGCCATAATCAATTGGAAATAATTGAAATGTCAAAGGTCAATCCACCAACGTCAGTGAAAAGTGTTCGTCACTTGTATTTATCGTAAGTACTTCTTAATATAAATTGTACAGAGTTGATAAGTTGCTACGAAAAGGATCTCAAAACTAATCCCTACGAGGAAGATAAAGTGCGTCAAATTGTAATAGCAGAAATTTAATTATATTTATTGGGAATCTTGAAAATCTGTTTTGTGTTAAAGATACACTTTATCCACTTAATACTTACTTGAATAACCTGATGACAAATTTTACAACGGCGTCATTAAAGGCTCTAATACGAACCATTACAACACAAGTGAGTTTAGTTACAATGAGGAAAGTCAAATATCGTGAACCAATCGTATTTGCTGTAGGCAGCCTAGTTGTAATACAGTGTAGTTTTGTACAATAAATTAATCAGTCGTATGTTGAAATGCAAGAATTTCAATTCGCACAATTCACTTTCTTCCATTGTTGACGTGAATTGATGCTGCTATTTAAAAAAATTACTTTGAATTTTACAAAAACTTTTGTATGTAATTTGATTGCAAAATCAACATTGTTCTGATGATGGCAAGCGTTCCCGGGCTTTTTGAGTTTCTCACGAATCAATTCCTTGGTCTACTTCGCTTCTAACAATCATCAATGACTAACCGTTATGCTGATGGTGCAAATATTTATTCCTGCATTTTTGAGAAGTCCGAAATCGACCAAATTTGGTTCTTGCGAAGTCTTCAAAAAACCTATAAAGTCTTGTTGATCGATCGCTAAGCAAAATTTGATGTAAAAATATATAGTATAGAAAATAGGACACTAAATAATGACTTTTATCATAGCCACTTGAGTGGTCTTCTCAAACTAAAATAAACAAAAATGTTTCTTCCAATACTTCTACTTACATTTTTTTTACAACCAGTTTACAACTTGTTTACCATTTACAACCAGTAAAGTGCTTTATTGAACGCTTTGGCATAAAACATACCCAAGGTGTGTTCCCAATCAATTCTTGCCTTGGAAAATACCTCATGAGGTATTCTCAGTTCTCATCGATATTTATGAAAAACGGACTACCAGTACAAATGACCTATCATCGAATGAATGCGCCTAATATAAAATTCACATAGTTCTAATTTATGTCGGAAAACAGTAATTTCACGATTATTCTTCACTTTTGAGGGCCAACAATTTGTCAAAGATACCGACGGATGCATTGAGAAGCTTTCCCAAACTTAATGTATTGGATTTGGGTGGAAACAAGATTGCAAAAATTGGCGATGCAGATTTTGCACATTCCCAACAAATAAACGTGAGTAGAGGGAAAGGAAATATAAAAGATATTAAAACATTCTCATTATTTATAAAATAGGCAGACTGTTACATTCTTGATAATTCTGACCAGGGCATTTCATTTAGTGAGACTATTCTAAACCAGACAAGTAGCGAAAGAGGAATATTTAAATCAAAAAAGCTTCATTTAAAGCACCATGATGACCGTGGCATGTTATTGGATATTTCATATAATAGCATATATGGTTTAGTGCTCAATGTTTCAAGGGAGTAAGTAAACGAATAGTAGTATATCCGAGAAAAAATCTCATCTCCCAAATTTTTCCTGGTTATATAAACAGAACAACTATGTATTCGGGGGATTCATATCTACATTCATGCCGCTCTAGTGCTATGGCATGGGTCGTTGGTTGAGCATAACAGTGACATTTTGATTATGATAATGTTTCCATATAGAGAAAATAAAATGTTTTTTTTCATTTTAGGCAATTTCACTGGGATCAAATCCTCTTGAATCTATATCATCTAAAGCTTGGGCAAACCTCACAAAAACTATTTATGCCATTTCACTGCAATTTGCTGGCTTGGAGGAGGTTCCGGGATTCGTTGCTGACATGCCAAGTTAGTCGTTATAACTTTTACTTACATAGTATTTCATGAATATTATTTAAATACGCAATATATCTGTGATATATTTGCTTCTCAATATTAGTATTATGATCGAAATTGGAATATTTCTGACAGTATATATAATATGCATATTCTAAGACAAGTATTTCATCGCTTATTCTATATTTAGGACTCATGTATTTGTCACTGGCGAATAACAAAATATCAAATGTTCAAGCAAACAGCTTCAAAGGAGCGAGTGGACTTCGCTGGCTTGAGTTAGCTGGAAACAAAATTATGCGATTGGATAAAAGGGCATTCACAGGTATGATAAACTTTTCATGTTAACACTTCAATAATAAAATGATCAAAAACAGTGTATTTTCCTATACCAAGGGCATGTGATTAGTAAACAATATAAACTACAAACAACATCACGAATTTAATGCTGTAATGAAAACAGCATGGTCATGGTTGATCATATTGATTGTCCATGAATAATGAATAGAACAAGATTGAAAACATCTCGACATCTCGCCCGTAGACGACGCAAATTCTGCGTTGACAATGAGAACCGTAATGTGTTTTGTAAGATTTTAACATTTACAAATTCTAAGATATAGGCTATGTGAAGAAAAAATATTTTAATCCATCGCAAACTTGTAGGTGCTGAAAAGCTACGACTGTTAGATTTGTCGGATAATTTACTGGAGACTTTGTCTCCTGGTGTGTTCGACTCTCTACATGATGAAGAACAAGTCAGTGTTGAAATGTATGAAAATCCAATACGATGTGATTGCAGCTTACGATGGTTGAAGTTATGGTCAGACAATGTGAGTATGTTGTACTGAAACGATTTACAACAGAAACAAAACTTCTTATAACTCAAAATTGATGACGCGCAGTTCTTACCACTTCATTGCAGTTCCTGCCACGAACGAACCGCGGCGTATATTGCCCTGGTTTTATGGTGCTATTCAGTAATCAGTATTACCGGTATATTCGCAAAGTCATGTACCAGATTTTAGTTTATCATGCGGAAATCTATCTACTTAAACCTAAAACCCAAATCTAACAGAACTGTATCCATAAGGAAATGTTCCAATTTACCCAAAGTTTGTCACAATCAAGGGTAGCCCTGTCATTACAGTCGAGAAAGCCTTGGTTACGGCAGCAAAATTTTACCCGCCATTTGTTTCCAATTTGCTGCCGTGGTACCCGCCTAACGCCATTGGATTGTGGCAGCTTCAAAAAGGTTTGACCATAGCGGCCGTGGTTTGGAAATCCCGCCATGGTTTTGCGGCAGCTTCAGACACCACAAAATACTTAAAACTGCACTTGAAATTGATGGTCAACGAAATTTTACACAATTGGATAAAAATAAGTCTTATTGCGATTTGCGTTAAATCTTTATAATCAAACTTTCAAAGTAATAATGCACATTCGAGAGTGATTGAAGTAGAGAAAAACGTTACTCCCAGATAATGGTAATAGATATAGAGATAGATATATGATGGCAAAATATGACGCTTATATCGTGTTAAGCGTTTTAAGTTTGTTGTAAGTATGAAATAAGCAATACACAAAAAATCATAGAATATTCATTTGGCTAATGAAATATAGGCTTTCGACTCGAAATAGAATGTATTCCTACTGAAAGCTTGATTTATTTACATATTTTTAAAATATTTTTAAATGAATTTTATTAATACACCAAAAGGTTGTGATCCTCTCATATGAAAACAGCAAATTTTCTACTTCCAGCTCCCATTTCAAGACATAAGATACAAATGTTTGCAACCGAAACGAAATCACGGAAAGAAAGCTTATGACATTAAAGCCAGTGACTTCAGCTGCCTGTCTGATGACGAAGACTGGGATGCAAATCAGGGTAAAATCAAAATGTTTTTAATATTTCAATCGGCATGTTTATACAAAACAATATTTTTATTTTTTAAAAGAATGTACACAACCGCAACCACCTGTGTCAACGCCAGAACCAGTTCCAACAAAGTCAACTAAAGACTCTATTTGTCCTAAACAATGCAAATGTTTTGATGAAAATGGGGTTCAGTACCATCCCAAACTTCCGAGTAGTTCATCGAGCAAAAGCAAAAAATCAAGAAGGTTTGTCTCGCAATATTTTCATTTTATATGTTTTCTTCTCATAATTACCTTCTGATAGGGAAGCTAATATGAGTTGGCTATCTTGTTGCAGGGGTATAAAAAAAATTCAGATCTTCCAACTTTTCTTAGTCGCAACAACCTAACATCTGGGAAGACAAATATGTATTGAGGGCTAATAACAGTGAATAATTTTTAACAACGTTCTTTATTAAGTTCAGAAAATATTTGACACTTCGATCCGAAAAAGATTTCATACAAGGGGTGGGCTTTGCACCAACGTCTCCGAACCAAAGTAATCTTGAGCCAGTGGAACTTGAAAGTATAAAATCTCAAAAGAGATCAAGATTATGAGCAGAATAATAACATATGAACATATAAATGAGCCGGGTCGCGACACAATAATGCAAAAACTTTGCGGTGTTATAAGCTGTTATATACACTATTTGATTCAAGAGTCTTGCTGCACACTAACACAAATGTATATGGATCCACTTCCGCAAAGGCGTAGATCAAGGATAGTATTGCGTGACCCCAACGTGAAGTCCTGCGTGATAATCATGTTATACATATTTGTTGTAATAAATTCATTATATAATTTCATTGAATAGATTATGGTGGCTTGGAAGGATTGTTTTCCCGCATGTAGACTGCAGCAATGCGGGACTCACAGCATTACCAGAAGGTATCAGACTTGATGTAAAGACTCTCACAATGGCAGAGAACAAATTAAGAACATTGAAAATAGCGGATCTCAAGAAATATAAATCATTGGAAACTCTTGACTTAGAAGGTATGTTTTGCCCACTTTGAAAATTGAAGTGCAACACATATTAATGTACAAACATATTTCAAAATTTATGTTCCATCTGTTTCAGGTTGTTCTTTGAACAAGATTGTTCCAGATAAAGACCCCCGTTTCCGATTCGAAAATATGACATCTATTTCTATCCATCATAACAATTTGACATCGTTTGGGGCAGAACAGTTACACTGCTTTCCAAATTTGAATCTCCTTCGAATGTATAATAATAAAATAAATTCCATGCCAGCCGGAATGTTTCAGAACAACAGGTAAGTAAACAAATTCCATTTTAGCCTTGCCTTTTACTGATCTCATAAGATGACTCATATTATATCTTGTTTCCCCGAAAACAAGACTTAGCCTGGAAATATGATCTAGCCGGAATTTTAAAAATAATTATATTCTAAGCCCTCCCAATTAGTCGATAGCGCAAACTTGTTTGACATAGCCGATAATAAGAAATCGCTTCTACACGTTTCAATTGACCAATCTAAACTTACAGGACATTCTAAAGGATGATGATATGGTCATTTCTGAATAATCTATGCTTAGCATTTTTTTTTAAATCCTGTTATTTATAAGTAAGTGGATACCGGTTTTCATATTTTCAATATTTGGAAAACTCGTAATTCTCTACTTTGTGATTTTATTTTTGATAAAAGATTATAAAACTTACATCCCCATAAAGTGCCCCATACCCTAGCGTTATTTTTTGACAGAAAATTGAAATAATACTCTGTCTTATTCTTGAGGAAACATGATATGACGATATATATATAATTATCGAATTAATAATTAATTAGTTATGGGACACGCTGTGTCGCTATTGAGTCAGAGCGAAGATCGATAAGTCGGCGGTCTCCGGTCGCTATCTAGTTTTACACTTCGTTCTATCTCGATCTCATGTGTCATTGTTACACCGGTTGAATAATGTTCGTCTAATTATAATCTAAAAGATTCATTTTATTCCATCTATAGACGCATTAACAGACTTTATATTGGACCGAATCCTATAAGAAATTTCGATCCAAAATGCCTTCAAGGACTTGATTTGTACTCTTTATCCCTTCGTAACATGAGCCTTAAAAAAATACCTGATTTTCCCTCAAAGGTAGGAAAACCTTTAATGTTTGTAGAAACTATTCCATAAAACTTTTCACATAGAATTATTTGCTTAATATCAACTTGGCCAATAAAATTTTATCATTATTTTTTATTCTCATAAATCTTTTTACGTATTAAAAGTTAGAATTGGACTAAGCAAACGTCTTTCTTGGGATGGTATTTTGCTTTCTATTTACTGTGGTATTATCAATATTATATAATTCTTTATTGTTACTATAACACTCATTGATGCATCTATTATAAACTACTCAAACTGCACAAAATCGGAAGTGCGCCACACCAGCTAGGAATCCTATAAGCATGGAATAACAGAGTTTTTATGCACTAACTTAGTCAATTTTGCTGTTGTATTTAATTTTCCTACAATGGGGATGAAATTAGATTATGGTACAAAAAACTTACAATACAACCCTGCTTAATGAAGAGAATAAACAAAACATTTTAATACTTGGTTGTAAATACTCTATCCAACATTTTAAAGTTCCAGAACCTTACCTACTTGGAGCTGAGCGATAATCTTATTACTACAATTCCAAACAACTCATTCGCAAATATGGATCTTCTCTTTAGACTGACTCTTGATAACAACCTCATAAGCAACTTAGAGGCTGACGCTTTCAGGTATATCGTTATCAAATTAACAAACAAAAATTTACGAAAGCATGCATTTGTTTTATGTCGCTAATAACACGAAAATTGATATCGCTAATTCTATGTTTTATGGCTATTTCTACAGAAATTGTAAGAAGTTGAGATACCTTGATTTATCGGAAAACAATATCCGTACCCTTCCGAAAGGAATTTTTGATGATCTGGATAAAGATAGAATTCATATTGAACTTTGGATAAATCGAATAAACTGTGATTGTAAAATGAAATGGTTTAAAGAATGGATCGAGAGGGTGAGTGTTGAATGTATTGTTGCTAAAATTTTATAGCAGTTTCAATCTTGCCGTGAAGGATGTTTCTATAAGCGAAAAATGGAGAATACGTACATTTTTCGGTACTCCTGTAGTATGCGAACCAAGACGGCGGACACCGGAACGTAGTATGTGTACCAGGTTAGGGTTAGGCCATCATTTTATTCCAATTTTCCTTATTTTAGTTCTACTACGAGTTCAGGAACTAGCCAAGTGACTCTCGTAGTATTTGTATCTGAAATTATGGCCTAACCCTAACCTGGTATAAATACTACGTTCCGGTGTCCGCCATCTTGGTTAACATACTACAGGAGTACCCATTTTTCTTTATATTTTTTCACAGCCAATTACGTAGTTTATCCTATTTTTAATGATATATACCGTTATCATTACATTTCATATTTGTTATAATAGAAGTGCACACTACGCATGATGAAAATAAGGTATGGTATAATATAGCAAACTGTAGTGAGAAACCATCTCAGGTTTTATTAGAAATGGGTTTCGTGGGTTTGTCTCGTATATTTTTCAAGTGATTTAATGTGTAGTTGTTATAATTTGCAATGAGGAAATTGTTAATTAGTGTGTATATTCATGGTAAAACTTTAGTTAAGAAAAATACAATAGAGTTCAGACATCTAAAAATGATGGTTTGTTTCTACACACTCTATGATATACAAATTATTATTCCAAGTTTCGTCCAATTTTTCAGCTGGAGGACACAAATCCAATGACTGAAATCAGATTTTCTTGTATGACACCGCTACGAATACATGGAAAAGTATCCGATAAATTAAGACCTATCGACTTCACTTGTGATTCAACAGTCAAAGATTACAATGGTAGGGGCATAGAAAAAAGTGGGAAATATTTGACAGCCTTTGCAGTGTTTAAATAAATCGCAAGACGCAGATGTGAACAAGAAATTGGAAAAAAATCAAACTGTCGTTCAATAAATGAATTCTATTTGTTCCAATCTGCGCTAGACTGCATAAAATTGAAATCCGTTATCTATTGTAAAATTTGAACGTGTCCATTAAAAATAATGCGGTGTGATTCATTTATTGCTTTAAAATACAAAAAATAAGTAGTCGTTCACGTACTAATGGTTTACGACACACCTAATTGATACTTCTCTCCCGCGTGGTTTTGATTGTTTACATTAATTGTCCGCTCAGCGCCTCAAATTGAGATTTTTGTCGAAAAATTTTTTTTTTATCATATCATTTTTATCATTTTTTTTTTTTATCATCATCAAAGTAATGTTGAAAAATTCATATTGTTGTTAATTTAGATCTTTGTGCCGTTTAGTTTCCAATGTTGTTACTTCGACCTGAATGACCCGAAATGATTCACGTCACGTAATGTCGACCGGAAGTTATATCGCTTTGTCCCCCCTATACTGCTCGAAAGTCATCGCCGGGGGTGCTTTTATGCATAACTGACCATTTGCCAGACATAATATAATAATGAAGTGAAATTTCCTTCGATACACTGTATTGAGCCAATATTTTCAACGTAACATCGACGTTAAAGCTATATCAGTTAGCACTATTTCTACTTTACAGATGATCACGAAGTAGACGACGACTTTTACGTATACGAGCATGGTTACTGTTACAGTCAAGGACAATTGGCGCTTGCTATTGTATTGACTATTGTTTGTATGCTGTTGCTCATATTGTTGGCGAAATGTTGCAGTATGCGGAGAAAAGGCGGGTATGCGAGATATAAAGCGCAAAACGATTCTAATTCTCAATTAGACATGGACATGTAGTCCGTCGACCACTCTTTTCATTTGAGTTTGTAAACAGGGTAAGAATACAACGTCCATTTTTAAATGGACGGAAATACTTATTCTTCATGCATTGTTTTCTGAGATTGTTTTTTGTTGAATGTGATTGTTTTAAAACATGAATTTTATATATGTATATACAGAATGTTATTCTCAATTATTTAGTGATTTATTATGAAATTTTCTATTGATTGTTATTGTTTGCCAATGATAATATCATAAATAAATTTAGAAAGACAGCAGACGTTATGTGGTTTCATTGCATCAATTATGACATATTTCATATATTTTATCAGTTATATGTAAGTTAAAAAATGAAACTGTACGCGTCATTGCTAGTACAATACGGTCCATTTTCCCACGGAAACATCGGTGCCAAAACGACCAATATGAGCGGATGCAATTGCTCAGATGGGAAACGGTGCGCCAGTATTCCACGACAGAAAACGCGTTTGTTTATCGTACCGCAGTGTGTCTTTAGGGCAAAGAAAAATTGAATTCACTGTTGTAAATTTGGACTTAATATACACTTAAACAAAATCAGATTGGATTATTGATGTTAGATAAAATCAGATAGAAATATTAGATTTAGCAATGTTAGTGGCCGCAAAGGCTCCTCAATCCTGCCATTGCGATTTATAGTCGCACGCAATGCTTAGCTTAACCTATGTACAAAAAAAAATAGTAGCCTAAATACTTTTTTGTTAATATATTCAGCGCTATTTGTTGCCATATATATCTACTGTGTACAAATAGTTACCTGAAAACATTTGCCTCGTTTGTAACATATTGAACATATTGTTTACGATAAGAACAAACTGAAAAGGAATTATATAAGTGAACGAAGCTTTTGGATCTAGTATGTTTGTTTATTACATTGTGCTGGCACACAATAGATGATCGGCGGACTGAAAAAGGCGTTGCGACGCATACAAGTAGTGAGATGGATGTATAAAATCGCTATCTCTTCCATGGTAATTTCATCACAAGGAAACAGTCGGCTCCATATACAGAGCGAACAACTTCCTTTCAAATGAGAAAGGCGCGTTGAATATGAGCAGAGACATTTTAGTCAGAAAAGGTCCGCAGCCTGAGTAACATTTCAAAATTGAGAAAAGTATTCTGACAACCGCAATAGAGTAAAGGATTATGTAGTTAACATAGCAATCCGTAAAGATGTCTTATGCTGAGATACAACGAATATGCGGGTATTAGGAATGATGTATTTGATAATTGGTCAAAAATAGCCTGTCAGTGTGAACTGTGTTTTATCCGGTAATAATTTCTTTCCTAGTCCCTGTTCATTTTTATCCTCCGTGTGATCATAGTAACTTTATTTAAATCTTTGATTTAGGCAGCAACTCCTTGTTGTGCTTATATTTATACTTGGACGACAATCTAAACGTTATGAGCGAACTATGATATTTATTTAATAATAAAAGAAATGATATAAAAAGGAGGAAAAAACAAGTACCAAAGTGTCTATAGCTATGTTGTGATATGTACTTTTAGTTTGATTGGAAGCAGGAATGTCGTATTGATAGGATATGTTTGTCCACTTTCGACTAATGGTTCCGCTGGCCCGAGTAAAAACAGAATAGAGGATGGAATATATCATTCTGTGACAGCCTTTGATAATTCTGTCTATTTTAGGAGTACGAAAAGTCGATGTCAAACTGATAACAGATTAGGGATTTTGTATGGCCTCATTACTAGTTAGGAAGTTGTTTATGCCTGTTCATATTATTTTCTACAAGTTCTCTTTGTATTTTTGATGATAGTCTTTATTGATAATAAAAGTCTCTGAGTGTTAATATTATCAGCCGAAAAGAGTCACTCATAGTGGTTGACGTGTAGATGATTCTGGGTTCAGGCTACAACAGTTAAAACTGGATAATTTTATACCATGAAAATATTCAAGGAAATACGCCGATTTATACCTCGGATATTATTATTTTTTGCAATAATCAATGGTGAGTGGATTGACCTGTTTATGTTTTAGTAATAGTATATACCTTTTCTAGTGTGTTATAAGTTTCTAGTTTTAGTTTACAGCGTTTCTATTCACTGCCAAATATCCACCATGATGAAAATAATAGCAAGCTTGAAAAATGACATACTCTTTCAACTTATTGAATACCATTCGTTTTACTTCAATATTTGGAAAAATATACTTGAGCACATTTTAGCATCCCGATTTTGTATACTGTGGTAGTAGGTCTTTCTCTTTTCATGCATTTTACGCAATTGTTATTCACATATCGATAAATTTATCATCAGAAAATGTTTTCAAAACAGGCGGGGCTGGATTTAAAGAAAAATTAATCACCGAGGGCAAAACTTTCAAAGTATCATGCCGTTCGCCTTCTCACACGTTGGACGGGAAACTTATAATAAATGGACCTGTATGGAGATTTCCATCCAACGTTTTCAATACTAGTAGACGAAACATGACTGGTCCAATGAAAATCAAAACCGATAATGGATTCGAATGGCGGAATGATATTTCTATCAGTGAATCAGAAATAGACGATAGTGGCCTCTATCAATGCCAATATCCATCCGATGATGCGGGAATAGTCGAAGAACCTCTTGCCACAGATGACGTCAGTTGGTTAAACTATTTCGTATCGGAAGATATGATAATAAAAAAACTATATGTTTTTGTTTATGGTGAGTTATGCAAATTTTGGTAAATTTTCTTGATCATTTTTAATCAATGTATCAAATGGGCAAATATATAATATCGTCAGATTGACGTTGTCTTGGTGATATACTTGTCATATTTTGTAATGCTATAGAGTAGACGGAAGGAGTGTAGTGAAAATATACGTAAACATCGGAATAATAAAAAAAATATATTCAGTTGTTAAACGATTTTATACTGCAGTTTCTCACTAGTATTCATATATTAAAAGCACCGAGCCAATTTAAATAAGCTATATTTTATTACCGGAATTTTCTGTTCGGTATGCAACATATTAAATTCTATACTAGTTTTATGTTATGATAAGTCATAACCTGCGCTTCACTTATATAATTAGTATTAAGGGAAGTGATATATATATACTATATTTTTTATATATACATATATAACGTATATCAATAGAAAACTCTGATTTTGTTTATTCAATAAAACAGCAGGCAATCGTAACTCGAAGATATGATTGTTAAATACATGTAATAACTGACTAAAAGCTCAAAAATATGTAAAGGGTAAATGCGATGAAACTGTAAAACAACTAAGAAATTGTTTGTACATTGCAGAGTGTGTTAAGATTCATTCAATAAGTTGAACAGTATTTTCGATTGCTTCGATTCTCCGCGTTTAGATCGTAATAGTTATTTTAATAGCAAATGAATCGTCCAATAATTCATTTCTCTTTTCATGTATCCGTATCAGATGGCAAGAATTTGTTGACAAACACGCCCGGTTATATTAAAGTGCTCAAAGGTTCGAATATGGCGCTTCCGTGTAGAATGACAACAAAGGCAGCAGATGAAGTACATTTGATGAGAATACCTTCTTCTATTGCTCTTCCACCCCGAGTGAGTTTTTTGTACTTTAGTGGAGGTTATGTGGGACGACAGCTCACGAATTGCATAAAATTCAACAGACCTGGCTGAGTTGAACTGTTACTATGAAGTTAGCTTAAATTTACCCTAATTAGGAACTATATGGGTTTTTTTTAACCTTGATATAATGCTTTAAAACTCATGCATTTACACATAATATTTTAAACATAAATCTCATATGTAATATATACTTTTTTTTTAAATTAGGAAGAGAGCTTAGTTTTATCTATATATACCACAGCAGAATACATACAACAATTAAAAATTTGTAATTTCCAACTTTTGCAACTGTCTTTAACATTTTTTTATTCACTGCTTTGGTAGTTATCCACGTTTGCTTGTTTCAATCCAATTTTAGCCCCAGAACATTTTCTAAAAATTATAAAGAACAAAACCTACTGGACAAATAAATAATTTAAGAATAATTTGCTTTCAGGATTTTAGATAATTACAATCACTATTTTTATTTAATTTTCAAAACTGAACAAAAATGTGATTTACGTCAGCTTTTTCGGGGGTAAGATTTTGCTACAAAAAAATCTATTTAAATACTGGAAATTGGAATGATCATTGAAATATGGAACAATATAGATATACACACATCAGTATACATACTCTGATTTGGAATCCCCCATCCAAAAACCACCAAACTTTTTTGTATCGACCCTTCAACTACCAAACCAAAATACCGAAATATTTTCAGATAACATACGATCCAGCAGTCGGCTACGTTGTGTATAACACAACTTATTTAGATGCTGGAATGTGGAAATGCGTTGCCAGACACAACGCCGTTGAAACTTCACGTAGCATGATGATCGGTATAGAACGCCGTAAGTATATATAATTGGGTCGTGTGCAGTTCATTCATATTATTAATGACGGTATATGATTTGTTCCTGGTGTTGAGCAAGTTATGTGACATATTCCCTTAAGGTTGAATCGTAATTTTGAAACGCATACGCATTCAAAACAAGCTCAACTTAATTTTCTTCTTTTCTTGCATTATATACGCAGAGCTAGGAAACCAGTTGAGTTAACTTAATACGCGTTTCTACATATTACATTTTAAATGAGTAATATACTTAGCACATTTTAGCATCCCGATTTTGTATACTGTGGTAGTAGGTCTTTCTCTTTTCATGCATTTTACGCAACTGTTATTCACATATCGATAAATTTATCATCACAAAATGTTTTCAAAACAGGCGGGGCTGGATTTCAAGAAAAATTAATCACCGAGGGCAAAACTTTCAAAGTATCATGCCGTTCGCCTTCTCACACGTTGGACGGGAAACTTATAATAAATGGACCTGTATGGAGATTTCCATCCAACGTTTTCAATACTAGTAGACGAAACATGACTGGTCCAATGAAAATCAAAACCGATAATGGATTCGAATGGCGGAATGATATTTCTATCAGTGAATCAGAAATAGACGATAGTGGCCTCTATCAATGCCAATATCCATCCGATGATGCGGGAATAGTCGAAGAACCGCTTGCCACAGATGACGTCAGTTGGTTAAACTATTTCGTATCGGAAGATATGATAATAAAAAAACTATATGTTTTGTTTATGGTGAGTTATGCAAATTTTGGTAAATTTTCTTGATCATTTTTAATCAATGTATCAAATGGGCAAATATATAATATCGTCAGATTGACGTTGTCTTGGTGATATACTTGTCATATTTTGTAATGCTATAGAGTAGACGGAAGGAGTGTAGTGAAAATATACGTAAACATCGGAATAATAAAAAAAAAATATTCAGTTGTTAAACGATTTTATACTGCAGTTTCTCACTAGTATTCATATATTAAAAGCACCGAGCCAATTTAAATAAGCTATATTTTATTACCGGAATTTTCTGTTCGGTATGCAACATATTAAATTCTATACTAGTTTTATGTTATGATAAGTCATAACCTGCCCTTCACTTATATAATTAGTATTAAGGGAAGTGATATATATATACTATATTTTTTATATATACATATATAACGTATATCAATAGAAAACTCTGATTTTGTTTATTCAATAAAACAGCAGGCAATCGTAACTCGAAGATATGATTGTTAAATACATGTAATAACTGACTAAAAGCTCAAAAATATGTAAAGGGTAAATGCGATGAAACTGTAAAACAACTAAGAAATTGTTTGTACATTGCAGAGTGTGTTAAGATTCATTCAATAAGTTGAACAGTATTTTCGATTGCTTCGATTCTCCGCGTTTAGATCGTAATAGTTATTTTAATAGCAAATGATCGTCCAATAATTCATTTCTCTTTCTATGTATCCGTATCAGATGGCAAGAATTTGTTGACAAACACGCCCGGTTATATTAAAGTGCTCAAAGGTTCGAATATGGCGCTTCCGTGTAGAAAGACGACAAAGGCAGCAGATGAAGTACATTTGATGAGAATACCTTCTTCTATTGCTCTTCCATCCCGAGTGAGTTTTTTGTACTTTAGTGGAGGTTATGTGGGACGACAGCTCACGAATTGCATAAAATTCAACAGACCTGGCTGAGTTGAACTGTTACTATGAAGTTAGCTTAAATTTACCCTAATTAGGAACTATATGGGTTTTTTTTAACCTTGATATAATGCTTTAAAATTCATGCATTTACACATAATATTTTAAACATAAATCTCATATGTAATATATACTTTTTTTTAAATTAGGAAGATAGCTTTGTTTTATCTATATATACCACAGCAGAATACATACAACAATTAAAAATTTGTAATTTCAACTTTTGCAACTGTCTTTAACATTTTTTTATTCACTGCTTTGGTAGTTATCCACGTTTGCTTGTTTCAATCCAATTTTAGCCCCAGAACATTTTCTAAAAATTATAAAGAACAAAACCTACTGGACAAATAAATAATTTAAGAATAATTTGCTTTCAGGATTTAGATAATTACAATCACTATTTTTATTTAATTTTCAAAACTGAACAAAAATGTGATTTACGTCAGCTTTTTCGGGGTAAGATTTTGCTACAAAAAAATCCATTTAAATACTGGAAATTGGAATGATCATTGAAATATGGAACAATATAGATATACACACATCAGTATACATACTCTGATTTGGAATCCCCCATCCAAAAACCACCAAACTTTTTTGTATCGACCCTTCAACTACCAAACCAAAATACCGAAATATTTTCAGATAACATACGATCCAGCAGTCGGCTACGTTGTGTATAACACAACTTATTTAGATGCTGGAATGTGGAAATGCGTTGCCAGACACAACGCCGTTGAAACTTCACGTAGCATGATGATCGGTATAGAACGCCGTAAGTATATATAATTGGGTCGTGTGCAGTTCATTCATATTATTAATGACGGTATATGATTTGTTCCTGGTGTTGAGCAAGTTATGTGACATATTCCCTTAAGGTTGAATCGTAATTTTGAAACGCATACGCATTCAAAACAAGCTCAACTTAATTTTCTTCTTTTCTTGCATTATATACGCAGAGCTAGGAAACCAGTTGAGTTTACTTAATACGCGTTTCTACATATTACATTTTAAATGAGTAATATACTTAGCACATTTTAGCATCCCGATTTTGTATACTGTGGTAGTAGGTCTTTCTCTTTTCATGCATTTTACGCAACTGTTATTCACATATCGATAAATTTATCATCACAAAATGTTTTCAAAACAGGCGGGGCTGGAATTCAAGAAAAATTAATCACCGAGGGCAAAACTTTCAAAGTATCATGCCGTTCGCCTTCTCACACGTTGGACGGGAAACTTATAATAAATGGACCTGTATGGAGATTTCCATCCAACGTTTTTAATACTAGTAGACGAAACATGACTGGTCCAATGAAAATCAAAACCGATAATGGATTCGAATGGCGGAATGATATTTCTATCAGTGAATCAGAAATAGACGATAGTGGCCTCTATCAATGCCAATATCCATCCGATGATGCGGGAATAGTCGAAGAACCGCTTGCCACAGATGACGTCAGTTGGTTAAACTATTTCGTATCGGAAGATATGATAATAAAAAAACTATATGTTTTTGTTTATGGTGAGTTATGCAAATTTTGGTAAATTTTCTTGATCATTTTTAATCAATGTATCAAATGGGCAAATATATAATATCGTCAGATTGACGTTGTCTTGGTGATATACTTGTCATATTTTGTAATGCTATAGAGTAGACGGAAGGAGTGTAGTGAAAATATACGTAAACATCGGAATAATAAAAAAAAATATTCAGTTGTTAAACGATTTTATACTGCAGTTTCTCACTAGTATTCATATATTAAAAGCACCGAGCCAATTTAAATAAGCTATATTTTATTACCGGAATTTTCTGTTCGGTATGCAACATATTAAATTCTATACTAGTTTTATGTTATGATAAGTCATAACCTGCCCTTCACTTATATAATTAGTATTAAGGGAAGTGATATATATATACTATATTTTTTATATATACATATATAACGTATATCAATAGAAAACTCTGATTTTGTTTATTCAATAAAACAGCAGGCAATCGTAACTCGAAGAGATGATTGTTAAATACATGTAATAACTGACTAAAAGCTCAAAAATATGTAAAGGGTAAATGCGATGAAACTGTAAAACAACTAAGAAATTGTTTGTACATTGCAGAGTGTGTTAAGATTCATTCAATAAGTTGAACAGTATTTTCGATTGCTTCGATTCTCCGCGTTTAGATCGTAATAGTTATTTTAATAGCAAATGATCGTCCAATAATTCATTTCTCTTTCTATGTATCCGTATCAGATGGCAAGAATTTGTTGACAAACACGCCCGGTTATATTAAAGTGCTCAAAGGTTCGAATATGGCGCTTCCGTGTAGAAAGACGACAAAGGCAGCAGATGAATTACATTTGATGAGAATACCTTCTTCTATTGCTCATCCATACCGAGTGAGTTTTTTGTACTTTAGTGGAGGTTATGTGGGACGACAGCTCACGAATTGCATAAAATTCAACAGACCTGGCTGAGTTGAACTGTTACTATGAAGTTAGCTTAAATTTACCCTAATTAGGAACTATATGGTTTTTTTTTAACCTTGATATAATGCTTTAAAATTCATGCATTTACACATAATATTTTAAACATAAATCTCATATGTAATATATACTTTTTTTTTAAATTAGGAAGATAGCTTTGTTTTATCTATATATACCACAGCAGAATACATACAACAATTAAAAATTTGTAATTTCAACTTTTGCAACTGTCTTTAACATTTTTTTATTCACTGCTTTGGTAGTTATCCACGTTTGCTTGTTTCAATCCAATTTTAGCCCCAGAACATTTTCTAAAAATTATAAAGAACAAAACCTACTGGACAAATAAATAATTTAAGAATAATTTGCTTTCAGGATTTAGATAATTACAATCACTATTTTTATTTAATTTTCAAAACTGAACAAAAATGTGATTTACGTCAGCTTTTTCGGGGTAAGATTTTGCTACAAAAAAATCCATTTAAATACTGGAAATTGGAATGATCATTGAAATATGGAACAATATAGATATACACACATCAGTATACATACTCTGATTTGGAATCCCCCATCCAAAAACCACCAAACTTTTTTGTATCGACCCTTCAACTACCAAACCAAAATACCGAAATATTTTCAGATACCATACGATCCAGCAGTCGGCTACGTTGTGTATAACACAACTTATTTAGATGCTGGAATGTGGAAATGCGTTGCCAGACACAACGCCGTTGAAACTTCACGCAGCATGATGATCGGTATAGAACGCCGTAAGTATATATAATTCGGTCGTGTGCAGTTCATTCATATTATTAATGACGGTATATGATTTGTTCCTGGTGTTGAGCAAGTTATGTGACATATTCCCTTAAGGTTGAATCGTAATTTTGAAACGCATACGCATTCAAAACAAGCTCAACTTAATTTTCTTCTTTTCTTGCATTATATACGCAGAGCTAGGAAACCAGTTGAGTTAACTTAATACGCGTTTCTAAATATTACATTTTAAATGAGTGAGCCATTTTAATTCATACGTTATATTAATATTATTTTTTTAAATTTGTATCCAACGCAGTTTTATTACCTTTATTTTCTGCTAAAAAAAGTGAAAGTTATCTCATACAGCTTATTTTTTGACTTCATATACTTTTATACTTTTCGATTTGATTTGTTTTTCAGAATTCATTATTCAACTACAACATTTTTTTATTTCAGCTCTTCACACATTCAAAAACGTGAAAATGTACGTTATACCAAATAAGAGAGTGACGATTAACTCGACAGTTTTGATTCAATGTGAAGTTGAGTGTGAAATTGGAGCGAGAGTTAACTTTTTATGGACATACCCTTCCAAAGGAAAAGTAGTAGGTTTTGCATTTTAGCTTGCGTGATTTGAAATTACATAATATTTATATAGACAGAATTTTACAAGCAACCAATACACTTCGTATAGTTAAATGACTTGTTTCGTTACAAAATATTCTATGAATAGAAGTAGACTATGGTTTGAGTTTGTAACATTTTCTGCCCATTTTATATCTTACTGAGTAACGTCCTCTCAGTTTGTTAGTGTACTGCTAAATGCAAATGTCATCGTATTGATAGTTAAACGAAGTAAACCCTTGAAAGAAAACGAATAGAAAGCACATTTTAAGCACAACCTAATTACAATTATTCTTTATCACGCCAACTCTATGAATATATATATTATGAATTTAATGTTAGCTGTCAAAACTAGGTGAACGATAAACTTTGGTTGAAAAATGCTGGCATATATTCAACTTTAAAAAAATATTAAATTTAAAATATTGATATTAAAATTACATCTTGACTTCTTATAAAATTATGCTGAAAATAAGGATTTAAGAATTTTGAAGTATGTTTTAGCTTACAAGATTGTTTCTAATATAAAACTCGGAACGCAATCGAATAAATACTCGTGGTACTCCAAGGTTAAAAGTTTAACCGATTTGATGGTTAAGTTCCATGCTGTGTGCTGTTTTTCTGCTGTACCGTACACATTGGTTGTAGAGTTAATGCGGTAATTTTTTGTGTTATTCTGGAATAATTGGAAATGTAAATATAAACTGCAGCATGAATATAAATATTTATATATATATTAAATAGTTACATACATCATAAAATGTAAATTTATCTACAGGAACTACGGCCCACTTACGGAAAAATGGGTGAGCGACCATTCTTCGATCAATATGATCGATCCCAACCTAACATCGGTTACAGTTTTTGGTGGAGCCAAATAGAAATAAAAAAGGCGGAACTTCGAGATTCTGGAATTTACTATTGTTCCGTTCAGTCAAAAACAAAGAATAAAACTGAAACCGTTGAAGTGCAAGTGATGGGTAAGTTCTTGAAAATATGAAATAATTATGAATTGCATCAAACAATATTCTAGAAATGTATGAATAACCCACAGAATCGAGTTATCCTCTATGCATTTTCAATTAATTAAAATTGCAATAATTCAACAATTGATCCGTCAATGAAAATATAAATAATGTAAAAACGCATTTAACTGACTAGTTTTTCAACTAGAGCATTTAATAATTTAGAAATTGATTCATGAAATTAAAAAAATATACATCAAATATTGCTATGTTTTGGTTTCAAATATTAAACTTTATTAAATTCTAGAAATTTGTGTGCAATCTAAATCTTCTTACATGTAATACAATGTTTGAGCTTTACAAAAAAACATGTTCAAACTAGTCCCAGTCTATGATATCAAAGAGTTGTTAAAAAATTATATGACCACTGACCAGTTCAATTCATTAGATTTATTGATTTCAGATGCGCAGTACTTGTTCATAGTCAGTCAACCCGAGTTCATCCCGAATGTGCCAAGCAATCAGAGCAAAAACGTTATTGAAGCAATAAGAGGATATTCGACAAAAGTTTCCTTCGAGGTATGATAACAACTTGTTTAGAAATAATTCTTAGAGTAGGAAGACGACTTGAATAAAATCTATCGATAAGGTATTTTGGCGTTGCAAAAAGATGGCGTCATATTCTTTGTTTTGAATGTTCTTCTTAACAAAGTTGCCTAAAGATACAATAGCAAGCAAGATAGATGTAATTTTTTTTTTCTACGTTTCAATACCAAAATTCAATTTGAAAGTGAAAATAAATCCAATCACTTTTTATTGTTTCAAATTAAATGTCGCAATTTGTCAATTGAATGCAGGTGATGAGAGACGAAAATAGGAACAACATTCACATTTTAATTATTTTTGAAACAACATTTTAACCCGTAAATTTTATTTTTGGCAAATGGTTTTCTTGAATTGCATTTATATTTTAGTTGCTCAACATGAAGTATATTTAAAAGAATAAGTAACGTAATTTCATACAAGAATAATGGTATTCATTACCATAAGTCAATAATGCTAATGCTTTTTCATTTTTGTTCAAATCTGCTGCGTGTTCTTATACGCAACGCGCTACATTTGATGACCTATTTGAAAACTGTTTCCTGTTTGTATTATTATGGTACGTAGTAGCCGACAACTTTGTTATTGTATTATTTTCTAGGTGGCTGCGTTTCCGAGTCCAGCATTTCAGTGGTTACACAACGATACAACAATATTAGCAAAAGATAATGAAATTGAAATATCACAATCGGCAGACGACACCACTTTTAAAATTAGTTTAAAAGTTAATAATACGAGCTATGAAACCGCAGGAAAATATAAACTCATACTGGAGAACGAATTCGCGAAAGAGAATGTAACATTTTATATGTCAGTAGTAGGTAAGACAGATATCAATGCATTTTTATTTCCATTTATTTACAATTGTTGTATTACAACCATCAAGCGTAAAATATAAAATACAGCAGAAAGCGTTTCAATCACACATCAAAAAATTCAATCAAAAGAATTAGAAATTTATATTCAAATAAAAACTTAAGATATTAAGTATGTATCAGAAATAAATTAGTATCAGTTGGGAGAATGTAGTTCATTTGACACACATTGCAGCGAATACTAAACAATTATACGTGGATTACACGCGCAAGGTTCCCAGCAGATACTAGGGTTGAATAAAGCTATGCCAATTTTCTTCGGTATGACTTAAAGGTGTGAAGTTACCAATTTATCACTTGTTTTGTATAAAAGTTTGTATATGAGCATAGAGTTAAGCTTTTCTTATCTAATTCTATCTTCATATCTTATTCTATCTTTTTTACTAAATATTGTAAACATTTTTGCGTTACAGATCCTTCAAAACCAACGATTGAAAACTTTTTTAAAAAATCAATTGAGTTAAAAACAGGTCAGAGCGCAAAGTTGATCTGCAGAGCAAAAGGAAGTCCGAAACCATTAATTCGATGGTATCATGGAAGTACCGAGATACGTGAGTCAAACATATCAGATTTAAAGATCTTCCAAAACAGTGATTCTCAAACGGTGGGTCGCGCCCTACAATGGCGGTATGGGCAATTTTTTGAGGGTCGTGAATCGAATTAGATCTTGCCCGCCTTATTTCGGATATTTAAATTTCATAACTCATTTATTCCATTATTTACGTTTCATCCACGTGTTTTTTGAATAAAACATACTTTCGCCTTACTATCCGTTATTTGTAGCTTATAGTTAGTTATTTTTGAGGTGGGGCGCGAGACTTGACGAATTCTGGAAAGGGGACGCGACTCAAAAAGTGTGAGAACTACTGTTCTAAAATAATAGCGATAATTGTAAAACACAAACACGCTTCAGCTTGTCGTCAATTATTGTTCAATTCAACCTCATATCTTTTCAAAAATTGTAAGATGCGCAACACAAATAAGTCCAAATATGCAAAATAATTTCACTGATTACAGAAAATGTCACTGGAATATACTCACTATTGCGTGTGACATCAGAGGACGCTGGAAACTACACGTGCACGGCGACAAACGACTTAGGTGAATCATACAGAAGCATCCAAGTACGAGTAAAAGGTAAATATCATTTAAGACGTAGAAAAGACCATGTTTGAAATTCAAAAAATATGAATTTTATCTGCTTGATAAAATCTTTAAAAGTCTGTACTATTTATCTCGTATCAAACTATTTGCTAAAACAGTTCTTAATGTAATGCACATATGTTAAAATACTATAACTTTTTAGATCCGAGCATCGGATTTGCCACGGGATTTGGAATTGGAATATCTTTATTAGTATTACTTCTAATTTGCTTGACGGTGAAACTGTTCACGAAGATAAAAAAATTTAAAGAGGTAAATAAATGAAAATACAGTTTTACAAAATCATTTCGTACGTGCATTAGATATAACCATCACAATAAAATACGCAGTCGCGTAAAGTCTAAGAAAAGATTTCGCCTATGAAATCAGCTCTGAGCAAGGTTCCGAATTCGAAAACAAAATGTATATTATAATTATTGCAAGCGACCACTGTGAGACGCTATGAGATCATTAGTATTGTGTACGGAAATAGAAAGATCAAGGGATCTTCAACTGGAACAAGACACGAAAGTTATTCTATGTACGGAGTTACTATATTTTCGAAATAAACCCTCTGAAGAGGCCGTAGTATGTCATTTCTTACGAGTGAAACATAATCAGAATGAAATCTTATTTTGGACGTGCGGTATTATTAATTTTAAGTATTCTGTTCAATTATTTAAATTAACTAATTCACCTTTGATTAGATTAAGAAAAGGATGGAACTATCTCAAAAATACTTAGTGCCTATATTGGATCCCAACGAAATGACGATGCAAGAACAAGCAGAGCGACTTTCATACGATTCCAAAAAATGGGAAATACCAAGAGATAGATTGAAATTTGGAAAAACAATTGGACGGGGAGCATTCGGACGAGTGGTTCAAGCTACAGCCTTTGATGTAGATAAAACTTCTTCATGTAAAACTGTTGCAGTGAAAATGCTCAAAAGTAAGAGAAATAATAACAATTTTCTATTACTCGAAAAATGTTTAAAAAAACAATTCACCAATCATTGATAATGGTTTTGTTATTTTGGCTTAAATCTGCACATGCTAAGTTTGCCAAACGATCCACTCACGAATTGCCCATCTGATATGATATAAAAATGTCAGAATTAATTAGCAATGAGTACATCGTGTAACAGCGTTATGGCTCCTTAATCCGGCAATTCGATTAAAAGTATTTTACAACTGGCCCCTCACTGTCTGGTGCTTCAAATTTCTCGTTTTCGTAAGCAATACGTAGTTAAATTGCTCCCATAATTGATTCCATAAATAGTCTTCTTGGAAGACTGAGGTAATTGTGACCAACCGGAATAAATGGTGCCGCTTGGTCGTGGGAATTGCTTTTACATCTTTCATCTTTTTAAATTTAGAAAAATAAAAGAAAAATTAACAAACAGAAATGATGATTCTGAAATCTTGTTTTGAGAGTGTATTAGTTTATTATCATCACCGATATAAAACTAAATGTAGATTGATAAACTGAATTTCATATTTTCGCGTTGCCACCAAAGCCATTCGTTTGTTATATCGATTGTCTGTTATATCGATAAACTATTACTCACTCATGAAATCATGAATCACATATATGAGTCGCTTTGTTAAAACCATGAAAATGTTTTTTAATATAAGGCATTAATTGCTAAAACAATATTAAATAAGTGACGAGGTGGAAAAAGAATATCTGGATTAAATATCTAATCCAAGTTCTTGTGTTTTTTGGTGTTTATCGGTACATTTTAACTCTTTACTGCTGTCGAAAAAATTTCGAAAATTTGGTTGTCAAATTTATGATAAAAAAACTACATATACATTTCTCATCATAATTTTCAACAATGTTTTTTCAGCTGGATCACGCACCGGTGAATACACTGCATTGATGTCGGAGTTGAAGATACTAATCCATATAGGACCGCATTTGAATATCGTCAACTTGTTTGGAGCATGCACCACTAAAGATGGTAATTAGATTGAACTTGCTTCAAGATAACAACAATTAGTCTTATAAAGTTTATCACTAAAAATATAAATATATATACAGATAGGAAATATATTCAAATATTTTTTTCAGTATAGTTTAACTGGATGTTTGAATTTTAGGCCCCTTGATGATAGTTGTGGAATATTGTCGATTTGGCAACTTGTCAAATTACTTGCGAAGAATGCGAGATTACTACACCAAACATTCACAGAAGAAAATCTCTAAACACTTAGACGCAGACGTTGATTTGCTTGACAGAAAACGATCTTTGACAGATGAAGGTGACGTTACTGATATGGCGTCCGTATCTGAAGAAAGTGCATTCGTAGATTGTGGGAGCGAAGCAAGGTGATAAACTGATATTTGTTTCAACAAGAATCGAGCAGAGTTTACATGAACTGCATTTATTTAATTTTCATCGAGTACTAGTGGTTTTAAATAACGAATAAAGTTGAATAATTTTAGCTATTTTCCATCTTAGAAGCGGTTTAAAATGGGACCAAGCTAGCAATAGGAATAGCACAACTTCGACTATAAGCGCTTCTGACACAATATTATCTAGAGATGATGATGAACTATTAATCAGAACGAAAACAGGACTTTCTTCGAGGTAACTTGCTAGGTCATTGCAAAATCGATTAACCTTAGGTATTGATGCACAACTCACTGAAATTTTTGATGACAGCGATAGCGTTGGTAGCGGAAGGTCAAGCATCAAAAAGAACAACCGCGATGATGACGTAGAAAATCCTACCGAGAAGAAATCTTTAAATCTCTCTGATTTGCTGTCATACAGTGTACAGGTTGCCAGGGGAATGGAGTTTCTCTCTTCTAAGTTGGTGAGTGTGTTTTTCTAATTTGAAGGAGAAAATATTGAAACCTGTATAACAACACATCTACTAATACTTTTGCAAAAAAGATAAGTTAAAAGTACGTTTGAAATCACAAAAAAAATATTAAAAAACAATTGAAAGTTCTGTACATACTGTACATAAGGCAAACAATGTACATGACTTATAAATTAAAATAGAATACAACATCTGCTGATGAAGCATATAATATCTTGCGAGCTGTTTAATATAAAAGTTCATCTATGAGCACACATCGGATCAGCCAATATTCAACCATGAAACGAATATGCTTTGAATACCGTTGAACCACTTGTCGACAATAAAAATTGTACAATCCGTCTCACTGGCGGCAAACTTCCCGTTTGTCATCAAAAAGGTCACGGTTCCTTTGAGCATATCGCGAAAGTGTTACGCAATAGCAAATTATGTATTAGTCAAATTGTAACTATGAGCACTTGATTTGAAGCTAACACTGTCTGCGAAGTTACCGATCTTTAACAATTTGAATTAATTTCCGATTATTTTGCGAGATATATTAAATTAGGTATATGTGGAAATGAAAATATCATTCAATAAATACTTGGAATGAACAGGATTTTATGGGGTTAGTAGTTATCCTAAATTGTTCCACACCGGTTGTAGCATTCAATAGTTTTACAATTGTTATTAGAACATTTTATTCATTTTGTAGTGCATCCATAGAGATTTGGCTGCTAGGAATGTCCTTCTTACTGACTATCAAGTCGTGAAAATTTGTGATTTCGGACTTGCGAGAGACGTTTACAAACACCCAGACTACGTTCGAAGTGGAGAGGCGAGACTTCCGTGGAAGTGGATGGCTTTGGAATCAATATTTGATGAAATTTATTCGACAAAAAGTGACGTGTAAGTATTGTAACTAGAAGTAAAGCGTGCAAGGCATTGAGCGCAAACCCATTAACATCAGTTAAATGGGTACTCCTGGAGTATGTGAACCAGAATGGCGGACACCGGAACGTAGTATGTGTACCATGTTAGGGTTAGGTGATAATTTTATTCCAATTTTTCTTATTTTAGTTCTATTACGAGTTTGGGGACTAGGGTCTAACCCTAACCTGGTACACATACTACGTTCCGGTGTCCGCCATCTTGGTTCAAATACTTCGCTAAGGAATTCTGACGCCCAGAATACTCATCATCAAACACCATAAATTTTGTGAAACTATGTTAAAATTGAATATAATCTCAACATAGAAAGTCATGTTGACAATATATTGGCTAAGTTTTATTTTATTTACACATTGGTTTTTAGATTTTAGATTTTTCGTCAACCCCAATATTAATTAGGATGCAAAACCTAATTGGTTGCATATTTGTTGCTTCAGATGGTCCTTCGGCGTTTTGTTGTGGGAAATATTTTCATTGGGTAGTTCTCCATATCCCGGAATTCAAATGGACGGAGATTTTTGTAACAAACTCAAAGACGGCGTCAGAATGAAGAAACCAGAGTATTCTCCCGATCAAGTGTAAGTCACAACTAAAATATTTTTTGATGTGCAAAAGAAGACCAACTGAATATTTTCTGTTAGGTTACCTCAAAACTTTAGGGTTTTCTCTCAAGATATCTTAGAATACTTAGATTTGTATAAAATTCAATACACAGCGCTATCAATCTTCCTTAATACTTTAAGAAACGCCCACCAAGTTTTAAAAGATCATTTGAACTTCATATTTGAAACAGTATAAATACAGGCATATAAAATTTCACATTGTAATTATTTATTATATCACACAGAAGTTAATAATAGGCCTCTGTTTTATTTTTCAGTTACAGCACAATGCTATCATGCTGGATTAACAATCCAGAGGAAAGGCCTACTTTCACAAGCTTGGCAGAAGAATTAAGTGATCTGTTACAAAGTGAATCGGAAAATGTATGTAATATTCTTTTAATTTTAGAAAGTTTTCCTTTTATTGTTTAACGTTATTAGTAGTTGTGTTAACCTACTGTAATATAATTTTAGGACTACCTAGACATGCTTAAAATATTCGAAAGAAATGGAGATTTGATGCTGAAACGTGGAGTTTCTAGGCTGGATGAACTTCCTGAAACATTCGAAGAAATGAAGATGAGTAAAGCGCAGGAAAATCAACATCCTTTGGTCGCTGCCGTGGAATATACCGATGTTGATTCCCAAGTAAGATCTTAAAACTAAAATTCAGATTTTTCATTATTTTTTTTTTAAATTCAATTTCTTGTTTTTCAACAGTTAAAAATATAAATTGCTGTATATCAAAAACACCAGGCTATGTGAAATGCAAGATTGTTGTGCCCCGGTTTGTGCACCCAAGATTTAGCGATATTTTTAAGCAACAATTTTAAGTCACCGTTAAAACCTAAATAAAAACTTCTGAAACTATTTACCATGAGCTTGTAAGCACCGAGTGAAAATATGCATCACTAAGACCAATTAAACCACGATTACCATACTTGAATGCCAAACGCAAGCCCATTCATTCTAGGGTTATTGTTAAGCTATTGAGTTATATATAAAAGGATTCTAATCTTGGTATTTTGAACATTTTCAGGCATTATCGGCTATGAAATTTGGTACAGAAATTGAAGATAAACTCAAAAGGAAAATAATAGGCTCGAAAAGTGATCAAAAGTGTGCTGATAAGTTTGATATTACGCGCAGAAAAGAGACTGTGGGACCTCACGAACATGAAATAATTATATCAGGTAGGTATTTTATTCAATAGGTCAAAATGGGATATATTCGAATGTGTGTTACAAAATCAACTCGAAGATGAAAGAAGTGCACTAAAACAATGGTTGCCAACCTTTATACATTTGCGATGTTTGTGCAACATTAAATGTATAAAATTTGAACACAAAAAAACAACAAACCTTGTAGAATATTTTTCGCATTTAAATCGAAATTTGACATTACTTTCCATCAAGCACGCATCTGTTACATGAATTAGCAATATTTATATCAATTTGAATTGAAATGTGAATCTAGAAATTTCAGATGAATTGCCAAGATGTATTGTTAAGAAAATCTTTTTACTTGAAATAAAAGATAAGTCTTCATAAAAAATAACGAACATTGGAAAGCGTGAGAGTGATATGTATCCGAATTAAATTATATATATATACAATACTCAGGGTGAGAACAATTTTGTTTAAAAATAGAACAATAAGTTGTTATCGGGTGTTTTGTGCCATTTGTGCCTCTCTTAGCCTTATTTAAATGATTAGCATCAATGTACTGATTGTGCCCTTTTACATTAAATTTCATTTCGTCTAGACGTATCCAACAGCAAAACAAATAAGGATACCTCAGAAACGAATTATCAGCATTGTTCAATCGACATGTATCCTGGAACATCAGCGTGTGAAAGTCCGCCATCTTATTCAACAGTTGCAGAAATTAAGGAATAATGTATTGCAAGATATATTATATCTTATTATGCGAATCCCAGATGAAACTGGTGAAAATAGAATCAAATACAGGGTGGCAGGATAGACTGTACTGTCTTCAGGTTCACGATGAAACATTATTTATTCAAGTACGATCAAAAAGATGATTGTGTTATTCGTGGCGCATGTTGAGTAAAATTTTGTATATTGACATGAAATTGACACTGATACAAAATAAAACATAAAGATATTAGATATCGTTTAAGTCGCACGGTTTCTAATTTCAAAACAACAATGCAGATTAGCTGTGCTTCAAACTATGATATATGTAATGCGGAAAAACTAAGTCAACACATTACAACGCAATAAAAATATATATTGCGTAATTTGATAAAATACCCTCGCCCATATTGTACATCCCCACTTTGTACTGTATTTTAATTTTTATTGTTGTAAATACAAATGAAAATTGTACAATAATAAACCAAAAGTATAAGTTTCAAAATCAAAGAATTATAGACTCGCGCTGAACATGTGTCGATTCTGCAGTTTTTATAGTTTTGTAATTGAGACTAGAGTGCGCGTGAAACAGGGTTACAGAAGTACTTTATTGTTTGCAGATTGCAATAACTGTGTTTATATGCTCTGATATGCTGTTTTCCGTTTTCTTTCTCCGACAAGGATAATACAAAAATATTTATCTGGCCATGTTTGCTATCATGATCGATGACCCACACGCCTCAAGTCGAATTCCGAAAGAGTTAATTTTGTTCTGAAATTTATTATGAAGTAACAATCGTGCTGTATCACTTAATTTGTTGTATATATTTTCATTTTTTATTTTATGTAAATTTTAGCTACCTTCAAGCAGAAATCTGCATATTTGACAACATTAGTTGCATGTTTTAATACTTTTCCATTAAATTAAAATGGACATCACTTGTGTATTGTTGTTGCATTGCGTGGGGCGAATGTCGTTAGTTCATTCTTCTCCACCAATTCGATCATGAGACAATTAGCTAACATATCGGAGGGAAAAAAATGGGGCCGCTGATTTCTGGAACCCACGCACAGCGTAAGAGTACATTCCATCACATGTGAGGACCTACTGTTAATGACCTAATACATCCGTCGCTGCTGTTGCCAGAATCAGACTGCAAGCTCCGTGCATGCGTTGATATGCAACCGACAGCTCGGCTCTGTCATGTTGGTTGTACTGGGATCGAAACGTGATCAACGATGGCATAAATGTCAAAACGTGACTCCAATTCGTAAGGGCAAATCGATTGTCATGTTTGAATAGAGGGACGAAAGACTGACGAAAGACTGAGACAGAGTATTTGGTTCTTTACGAATATTCCTCCAAATATATATGTGGTGCTTTTAGCGCTTCTACCTTTAAAGCAAATAAGGCTTTCGTGAAAACAAAATGTACTCGCATGAAATCGTAGCTGTCGATCTGTAACGCCAAAAATGACAGTGATGACTTCGTACTCAGCTGTCTTGGTATCAAAATGTGTCTCATCTAGCTTACGTGGTGTTAGTCTCGACTCCCGAATGAAGGCTTTCATTACAGCAGCGAAGTTTAGGCAGTGGTGGGATTCAATTTTTTTGTCAGCCAGTTTCATCACAAAAGTCATATTTTTTACCAGATTCTGTTACAAAAAGTCATTGAGGGCAACCAGTAATCCTAACCGGTTTGCTGATCTCATAAAATTCCCTGAGACGGTTCTATAGAACCGATGCGAACTGGCTGAACCACTGAGTTTAGGGCCTATTTGGTATTCATAAATTTTAATAATAGTATTTTTAATTTATAAATTTCTCTATATAACCTTATTACTCTACTGGCGCCAAATCGAATGATGCTCAAACGGCCGTGCTCAAATATAATATCAGCTGGTTTCCAAATGGTGGAGTCAAGCGAGCCATTCCTCACGGCAACTGTTTAGTTAAAAGGCGATTGATCGTACGCTCAAGTGTAAAGATTTTTTGATGGAATCAAAACACTAGGCTTTGTCGGCGGCCAAACGGACGCTCAACTTCGCATCACCGACAGGAAGATCACCGAATATTTTCTGCCCCCAGGTGGTGGCCTCGCATCAATGGCCTATCTGACGGATCAAGAAGCAACGTCACTAATAACGCTTGCCGGCCATAAGTCAGTTATTTCTGGGAATGGGAAGATTTAATAAAGGTTTAGGTCGTTCAGTGTTAAGTCCAGGTGAAACACGATGTCCTAATAAATAAATTTCTTTCTGTGTTGTCATAGATTTTATTTGAATAAAGTTTTCCGATTTAGGATTTTTGAGAAGAGCGTTCAGTTCAGCATCATGATCCTTTTGTCACCATCGACAACAGTTATATTATCAAAGTAAACAGCAATGCCAAGCAGCTTATGTTTTTCAATGAAAGAGTCCTTTGGAAATATAAAAAAGGTAACCTGCAATGTCTGCTATTGTTTTCAATTCGTTTCCCCATCCCCATTAGCAGTATTAATGCATTATGATTATTTTTTCGATATACAAGAGAGCAAATATATGGACACGAAAGCCAAAACAAAGTAGTATCAAATCTTTTACAGTTCCCTAATTCCGAAAAAAAAGAAGCCCAGGCCTTTACCCAAAATTCTTGACCCTGTTTTTTTCATATCTAATAGTATATTTCATGACCGAGTCGGTGGTGTTGGTCTTGACGAAAGCGAGGTTGAATCTGCTCGAAATTTTGCATGTGCATTTATCATATCTTGGACCAGAAGTCTATCGATTTTGGATGAATTATGTCGTATAATTAGCGAGTTATTAATTGATTAGTAATGGGACACGGGGTATCGCTATTGAATCAGAGCGAAGGATATACGCTGCTAGATCGATAAGTCGGCGGTCTCTGATCGCTATCTCGTTGTAAAAGTTGCGCGGTCGCACGGGTAATACGTGGTCTTCAAACGCACCGCCGATCACGCGCCTCAGTTTTGCTCGTCCTCCCCCGTTCCACGTTACGCCCTTATTATCATTTTTTCACGATCTAATTCATATTTGTCACAATTCAATATGTTTCTCCCATCGCCAAAATCATTCAATCGTGTTTTTGTCGGCACTTAGTTACGAGAGAAATGAAAGTGGCAAACAAACTGTATTCCATTGTATCCATAATTAATAATCATTATCGCTAAAAGCACTAAATAGGTTTAAAGACGTATCCGCTGGACGCATCTTTTCACGTTATGAATTTCTGGCAACGCCAAGCATAATTTGATGGCAATAATCAAAGCATTTACTATATGCGTCGAAACGCTTATTCGACTATCCGGAAAAGATGACCGTTTTTGTGTTCGGGATATGAAATAATCGTCACGAGATTGCTACGCCACTGAGCCGATAGTTGATCTTCTTGATTTTACTTTTGTATTGTGGTTGTTTAAATAGTGAATAAAAACCATGCAAAGTCATCGCGTGAATCCTGAATGCTATTTTGAGTTATGGTTAAATAAGTCGGCAACAATGACAATTCTACTAGTCAAATAATATTTCCTTGGTACAATTTGAGAAAATTTCCCACTTAGTCTGACTGACTCAAACTGTAAGCGTGGGTGTTTTTTTTCATATAGGTATTAAATAAAATGGTATAACCTACCATTTGTGAGAATATCTATATGTGGATAACAAAGCCTTAAAATCCCGGGATTTAGGAAATAATTAATTGCGAGATCGGGATTGAAAAAAACAGTCCAAATCCCAGGATTCCCCGGGGTCCCAATCCTACGTGTGTCCTATCCTATTCCTAAAATAAAACCCTGGTTTGAGATTGCGAAAACCGGACCCGGATTCGGCTCTGTCATTGTTCCCATTGCGCCATTGTCACTGCGGGTGCACTGTTCGTAATGCAAATCGGACAAATATAATAGTCAAATCTCACGATTTCTTGCGTCTGTTCAGGCGTATATATATTTATGCATTGGGGCAGTGACATTTGGAGGCTAAGTTCTTACCACTTCACGGCAGATCTGGCCGTGGTTATGGCGCTATTACCTGTATATTCACAAAGTCATGTACCAGATTTTAGTTTATGCTGCGTATTTTTGCGGATAATGAAATGCCACAACCTTCCAGTGCTTTTCAAACGTCCGAGTAACTTTGGTAAAAATTCATTAACGGAATTTCCTTCCCAACATAAGTCGTTAGCAATCTTGCAGACGTTATCCGCAAAAGAATATCTCCTAGTATGCAGTACATTTTTTCGAGAAAACGTGTTTGTTAAACCTATCAATACGATGTACTTCTAGCGTGCGATGTTTCGCAATGTCATATCAACATCAGGTACAAGCGACTGCTGAGGTTTGCGAATCACCAACGGGTGATTTCTCATCGGTCTGTACAGCCCTTGACGACTTTGTCATATATATATATCGGCTTTAAGCGATTTGGCTATTGACGAATTGAACTGAGCACCCGGATCAATGCTCACTTTATAATTTCGAATGTTCGTATCATAATAAAGACACCGTTTTGCCACTACACGCAGCGAGTTAATGAAGGATTTAAAGTGGGCATACCTTCATCATTTGAACTTTCATCATTGTGGTCGTTCTCTATTATTCTTTAGATTTCGTCGGTCAGCTTCTGGTAGAAATGGACAGTTACTTAGAAAATGGCGTGCTTCGGTGCGACATAACAGACATCAGCTTTTCGTCCCACGAGTATCTTCGTATTGGTTCAACTTCTTAGGGTATCGAGACTCAATGGAACGTAGGACTCTGGACTCATCTCCACAACTTCTCTGCTCGTTTAACAGTGAACACAAGGCAAGAGAGATCTCCGACTTTATAGAGGCGAGATTACGCGATCTCAACTCTGTGCCAAACTTCTGTTTGACAAGATGTGGCAAATCATCATTGATTAGATCATTAGACGAAGCCATTGGAACACAATCGCATTTTCAATTGTAGTGGAAATCCTCTCGTAAGTATTCAATCACTGATGAGACACATTGCCTGTTCATTTTAGTATATTATCATTAAAAACGCTGTCAGTCGTTGAAATAAATTTTCTAGTATTTCA